CGGGCGGGCGCGGCCGGGGGCCGGGCAGGGCCCTGTTCGGAGGGCAGCGCCTGGCTCTTTGCGGCCTGCGGGGCTCGCTGCTTCTGCCCGGCGCTGCTTCCTCCGCCTGCCCGCGGCCTCCGCGCGGAGCCGGGGCCGGCAAAAAGCAGTTGAGGGCGTTAGCGTGGGTCCTTCCCTCAGGCGAAAGGATTTTGTGCAGTTCGAAAGCATGGGGGCTTGCTTCAAAGGCTGTGAGAGCCTTGAATCTAGCAGTGGCCTTAGGTGTGGTTTCGCCTAATTTCTGTCAATTCTTACTGCTCCCAGGTGTTCAAACGCTTCGTCGAGATCGGCAGAGTTGCCTTCATTTCCTTCGGGCCGCATGCTGGCAAGCTGGTGGCCATTGTGGATGTTATTGACCAAAATAGGGTAAGCTAAGGGCGCTGTACCTTTGTTTTCTTTCCATCTTAGCAGAAGCTTGTGCAGTAAGACTGAGTGTATCGGTTTTAAAGGAAATTTTCTGTGAATAGATTTTTCGAGGAAATAAGCAATTGGTAAAAAGTTGGGATTTTTAGCAGCTGTTGTTGTATTTGAAGCTTTCAGTAGCAAGCTTTCTTTGCTGGCAAGTGATATATTCTCCTCTCTGCTGTGTTTCCTTGGAGTAGAAGTGGACAAGTGATGTCAGTTGGGGTCTAAAACTTCGGAATGGAATGGCACTAATGTATGTTTAAAGAAAATGTTTGGGCTAGGGGACTCTTTTCACTTAATGTTCCTGAAAAAGCTCAAAAAAAAAAAAAAAAAAGGTCATAGAATCACAGAATGGTTTCGGTTGGAAGGGACCTTAAAGATCATCTAGTTCCAACCCCCCTGCCATGGACAGGAACACCTTCTGCAAGAAAAAAATGAAGTATGTCATCTTAGTTCTCCGTGCTTTTTTTAAAGTTAAGTTTGTTTTTTTCCAAAGACAGGCCTTCAAAACTCTTTCTGTCAAGCTTGGGTTGTGTACACAAGACTTAACAATCTCGGGTTTTGTCTGCATAACATTCATTTCAATCTTGGAGCATTGTTGTCAAGATACTGTTCATACATTAATAAGAAGCTGCTGTCTAAATCAAGTATGATGGGAAAACTGCTAAACCCCCCCCCATTTGTTTTCCTTTTTCAGGCACTAGTTGATGGCCCCTGCAGTGGTGTCAGAAGGCAGGCTATGCCCTTCAAGTGCATGCAGCTGACTGATTTTGTACTCAAGTTCCCACACAGGTGAGTTGTTGGCATTTTTTTTGACCTGTGTAAAAAACGTGCTGTCACTTGATGACTGAATTATGTGATCTGATGCTTCCTAAATCTGGAAAGTTCATACGACATTAAGTCAATGGATTAACATGTGTGCACGGTAAAAAATTTGGCAGATGGTGTTATCGTAGTTGAATACACGTAAGTTTTCGTTACCGATATTGGCTGATAACTGCTGTTTAGGAGCAAGAGAAATAGCACACTGGGCTAGGCAACTTGCAGATAGTTGTGGGGTGAATGATGTGGGGGGGAAGCAGTTGGAGTAAATACTGTGCAGCTTTGCTTTTGCGGCTGCTTAGATCACCTTCAGACATTAAATATGTTCCCTGCCTACAGAATTACACTGAAATTGCAGGAGGCTGAACTCACTCTGTTCTCTTTAGCTTAGTTACTATATGATATTCTGTAATTTAGGAATAAAATTTGCTGTCTTTCTGATTCTGAAGCAGTGCTAGCAATAGTGCATGAGTATGCCTCTTGGAGTCGCTCATCTGTCAGTCCTAGCAAAGCATTTACACAACAAAGTGTTAATTAGGCCACAGAGATGTATGTGGCATTGACTTAAAGTAAGTGTCTGAAGTAATGTAGAAAGGTGATCTTCCCTTGTGGGCCAGCATCAGAGAGAACCTTTTATTATAAAGACTGTGAATATAGTTTTGTGACTATTCTAATGCAGTGCTCGTCAGAAGTGTGTGCGACTTGCCTGGGAAAAGGAAAATATAAATGAAAAATGGGCAGCAACAAGATGGGCAAAGAAGATTGAAGCCCGAGAAAAGGTACAGTTTTTCACTAGATGAGTAATAAACATTGTACTGCTTCTGCTTATTAAAATTAGGTGCAGGCTAACCATGTGTTTTCAATTGCAGGCTAAGATTAAAGATAGACAAGGCATAGATTTTTAAAAGTTGCTACCTATCAGCTTCAACTTCTTGTATTTTAACAGTAAATGTGGTTTTGTTCAGTCATTTCTATAACCACCTTTTTTCCTGCACCGTCACTTCCCAGCAAAGGCCTTAAATAGGGAACTGGTTCTAGATGTGCAGCTAAACCTAATTTGGAGATGATCAGTTACTAGTGGAATGCTTTGTAACACTGAGTTTTACTGCTTGGATATGTATCAGAGCCTCATGACTGCTTCTTTTCAAACAGAAAGCCAAAATGACTGACTTTGATCGCTACAAGGTTATGAAAGCAAAGAAAATGGTGAGTGTATGATTGTCACTTCTTTACAGGATTGATGCTTGTAGCTTTCACTTTAGAGTCACATACAGATGTTAGTAGCTTTTTATAGATGGCTTGGGTTATGGACCAACACAAAGTATGTGAATGCCTTGAATTTTTCGTGCTGCTTTGGCCACGGCTTCAGTATTTGATCAAACTTGAACCCACATGATCTGTGTGTCAGTCCTCAAAGTTATAGCTGAGGAAGGAATTACCTGCTGATGAAATCAGATATTCTTGATGGGCTGCTGTCAGTATTTCATTCTATAACGAAAGTCATTACGCATGAAGTATTGGGGTGCCCAAGTTACCAGCCAGAATGATGTTGTCCACTTGGTAGATCAGAACAGTTTTAGGTGGAATTTGGCATTTTAAATGTAATACGTGGTAAATCTTTTGATTATATAATATAAACATAATTGGTTAGCAAAGGGTGGTTATCAAAAAGGGCAGAATCTGAAAGCTTAGAATTTAAATTAAGGCATAGTATTTGAGCTGTTGCTATTTTCATTCTGAGGAATAGTAAATATTTTCCTCTTTTACAGAGAAACAGGATTATCAAGCACGAAATGAAGAAGCTCCAGAAGATGTCTTCTAAAAAAGGCAAGAAGCCAGAGAAGTCAGAGAAGGCGCTGAAGTCAGAAAAGGCACCAAAGTCCGAGAAGGCGCCGAAGGCACAGAAGGCGCAGAAATAAAATGAACTTCTAGTTATGTATGACTTTGTGTCCTTGTTCTGATTCTTTAAAATTAACAAATGGTTAAATATTTGATTTAAATTGTAATCTTAAGTTCATTTTTGCTTCTGACCAAGAATTGTTGTCTGTCTCATTTATTAATGTCCAAGTATTGGGTTTTAGTGTTTCCCAGGAACATACAGAAACGTTTTTATCACATTCTGTGAAGTTGACCATACAGACTATGCTCAGTACTCTATACCCAATACCAATCTAAAAAAAACTTCCACCATTCTTTAAGTAGTGACCTGGAATACTTACATATTTCAGAAGTCTAACACCACCGTTGTCCTGTAAAGCGCAGTTACAATGATTAGTGACGTGTTAACAAGATGGAAATTGGTGACTTGTGTTTAAGTTGCTTGCTTTTCAGAATGTTTAAAGTTAAGAGTTCATGTCATAGACCTGAGCCTAATTACAGTTTCTTAAATGGTGCAGTGTATAATTCCTGCTGTTTAATCAAAACTATTAAGTAAAAGGGGGCATGACCTAAAAATTAGGCAATCCATCTGAAACGCTGAAGTGCTTAATTTAGTCTTTGCACTATACAATAATGTTTACATATCTCAATGTCCATCTTTTCCTGTGTTTTCTCCTGTGTAGTTTGTTGGCAGGGGATACATTTTCTTCATATTGAATGAAGAAATTGTGGAAGTCTGACATCTCTGGTAATTGAAAAGAAAATTATTTTTACAGTCAAATATACAATGAGGGAGAATATATATTTTAAAAAATGAAGGTTGTAAGACCTTTAAATATATTGTCAAATATACTGATAAGCATGTGCTTTTACAAATGTGTGTTTTTAAGTAGTTAGGTGGGTAGTGTTGCTTATTTCAGCCAGAATCAGGCATCTGTATGTTCAAACACTTAAAACTACACGATGTTGTGTTGAGCTATTTATATGCCCTTGGAAATTGAGTTCAAGCACATGGTTGATAGAAATGGATGTAACAGCTAAGTTAAAAACCCAGAAATTATGCAAATGGGGATTAAAACCCCTGTTCAAGCATCTAGAGATCTTGATTTTAAATTGGATTTTGAAGTGATTAAATCCACCTACTCTGAGACTAACTTGAATGTAACTCGAAAGGTATATCAACCTGGAGGTCCTTTAAGGTGAAAGAGTTGTTCTTTAGGGTTGTTTGGGGTTTTTTATGTACTACTATTAAGCTCAGTTATATAAGACACGGGGAAAAAATGGTAAAAGTGCCTGTAGAGAAGACAGATGTGCCTTCAATCATAATGAGCTCACAAATGCTTTTTCTACATTATTTGCTTGTTTTCAAAGGTACTTGCTTCCAGAGAATAACTTTGGCTATGACTCCAGCAATTTATCCAGTGGTTTTGTTGCTGCCAGTAGCACTCAACAGCTACTGAGTGTGCTGTAACCTGCCAAGCTGCCTAGCAGCTGTCATCTTCCTGAACAGGAACCGTATAACGGTGCAAAACATGCCTAGAGGGAGGGCTGCTTCTGTGGGCTGCTTGTGTCTGCCCTAGCACTGCACCTTGGAAAGGGATGTGCAGGGGAAGGAGGGCATCAAAGATTAAGGTGCTATTCGGGAGAGAGAGCATTATGTGCCTTGAGAAGAAAACTTGGTTCTGTAATGCCATGGCTGCCATCGAGTGCTTCTGTGAAAGTACCATTTTTTTACAGTTTGGAGGAAAGGGGAGAAGAAAGTACCCGTCTTTGGTAGCTGCACTGTGTCTTTCTGACAGCATGTTCCATGTGAGCAGCATCTGGTGCTCTTGTTACAAATCACAAAACTTCTCGGAAACCTTCTGCACCTCGTTGGTAGTCCACTTTTCAATCCATGAGTGTTGTGCAATCTGTGCTGGTGTGTCCTTTTTTTAAAGCTATGGGGACACAGAAAACTACAGAAGTACAGTTTTGTTTCTGAAGGTTACCACACGATGGCAACGTTAGCTCTTTGCAAGGTTGTTCCTATGGCTTACCCAAACCCGGCAACTGTGCTGCCTTTCCATGCAAGGAACAGTGCCAAAGGGGTTGGCACAAACATTTGAGAGCAATGGACATGCTTATCCAATTCTTTATTTTGCCTTTATAGTTGACTAAGATGTACTTTCCTGGACTAAAGATATACTTCTTTAATATACTTTGTGGAGCTGAGTGTAAAAAAAATAGGATCTGTTGTTTAAAAAAAGCTTAAAGTGAAGTCCCAGTGTTTATTTTCTCATCTTATTTCACGCAGAGCATGCGGGGGCTTGCTGGGGGCAGAGGGGGGAATGTACCCTCTCCCAGTTTACTCCCGAGCTCAGCAGATAATTGCTATACTTCCTAAATTGATACCAATAGTTGGCAAACCCAGTCCTAATCTCTGTGCTGCGAAGTCTGGGAGACATGAGCAATTCTAGGAGTAAGATCGGACCCTTTAGTATAATCTGTAGTTAAAAGGTGTAAAATCTGCTGTTAGTGTGAACCAGCTGCAGTTCTGGGCTGAGTGATTTGCTGGCGATGCATATTTCTTCTTCAGAAAAATCTGTATTTAAGTGCTTTTGGTTCTTGACTAAACATGTCTGTTGCTGTGTTTGGCATCTGAATGTGTTTCAATTTTTTTTTTTTTTGAGATGTAATAGACCTGAAAGAGGAATCTCTAGATTTACTGATCTTCCTGGTTTTCAAATACTAGTATTCAGACTGTCCTTCAGTCGAGCTTTGCTTGGTGACCTTGACATTTTCAACTCATTTGGTCTTGTAGTTACCTACGTGTTAATAGTAGATAATACTGTCTGTTCTGAACTACTTCTGTGCCACTGATGCTGACCATGGACTTGTAGCAAATCTGGTCTGGTTTACAGCTGGATTCCCTCTATTTATTTTGTCTTACTTCACTTGTAGTGCTCCTTAAAAGTTTCCAACCCGTATGTTTCTCTTTTCTCCCTGCCCATGTTGATAAGGTGTCTCTGAAAACTCCACGTGCCTGCCTTTCATCGAGATGAAAAGGTGCTGATTTCTATTCACAGCATTATTGGTATATGAGTAAGTACAGCTTACAAGCAAGAAGTGGTAAGTGGAGCAAATTACAGGGATGACTGTGTGGTTTGGGCTCTACTAATTTCAGGTCTTCAGGTTTTGATTCTTCCTTTGTGTAATTTCTGGGTTTTTTTGGTTTGTTGTTTGTTTTTTTTTTTAATTTGGAAATAGTTTTCAATGTTGTTTTGAGCTTGAAGTTGCATATACTATTGTCACACTCAGGTACTTTTGAGTTTATACTGGGATTTGCTTCTCTGAAGCAGAAAGATCTGCTTCTACCTGTTTAGGCACTGTATCCCTAGTTGTGCTGAAGTACTGCAGTCCTTGTCCCTGTCTTGACAGAGGCAGTGGCCCTGTGGTTGCTGGTGATGTACCTACACCCTCTCTTTTTCCCTGAACTCATAACAGGCTTCATTCTTGGATGCAGTGCAACCTCCAGTTCATGGTGTCCTTAGGTGGGAATTTGGCCAGCCTTCGCTTTGTGCAGCTGACCCCTGTGTCATACTCTTGTTTTAAATAAATGAAGAGTTGGTCATTTTTTCCTCACCTCACTTTCAGCGATCCTAAGCCAGTCTGAGCGGTCTCCAGGTCAGTCTTTGTAGCAAACTCTCCCTCCTCCCCCAAAAGCTTTCAGACCACTACGTGCATCTAAATTGGAGAAGCCTTCCACCTGCCGTCAGCTCTTTGTGCTGATCACCCACCTAAAAATTATGCCATTGCCATCAGCACAGAGCCACTTCCTCCTTCATAAGATGCATTGACCTAGTTCTTATTACAGAGGAAGTACTTTTTAACGTTTCCCCAGTGGTCTCCTGGTATGAGGGTATTTTTGGGGATATTTTGTTCTGTAACTGTTTGGGAGCATCGCTCCTTGCATATTGTGAGGAGAGGTCCTGACCTGCTCATCACGGCCCGCAGCAGAGCTGAGCTCTTCCCTCGCATCCGCTTTGGGCTGCTTGTGGGGCGTGGGCAGTGTTTTGGGGCACTGTGCTGCTGCTGAAGGTTTATATGGCAGGATCTCATCAGGAAGCTCTGCTTTGATGAAAATGATAGATGCTTTGAAAAAGTAATAGTGTTCATATTTAAATAGCATGAAAGAATATTATCTTTGAGATCAGCTGGAGCTTTACCTAAGGAGACACAGTGGGAGGGCACAACATCTGAATATTTTTCACGATAACTCAGCAGCCAAGACTTTTTAGAGCCACTGTTTGAACCTCACATTTACAAAAGCCATCAAACAAAAGAATGGCCCATTGCTAGCTGTGTTATTGCAGTCAGGTGCCATATAGAGGTGATCTAAAGAAAGGATGGGAAATAGGCTCATGGGCTTTTGCCTTCTTCCTTCTCTTCTTCCCCGGAGCCCCTGAATAACTTTAAAGGGTTTGGTTGTTTTTTTTTTCTGGTTGTTTATCGTTTATTTTTACTGCTTGTCTCATTCATATTGCACGTGTGAGTCTTAGCTCATCCTGGAAGTCTCTGTGGATAATGGAAAAAAATCAGAGCGTTTATAGCATAATGAAGTAAATTGAGTCTGACTAGCTGTAAGTGGCATTGTTTTTGCTCTGGTTGCTTGAAGCATTTTGCAAGGTCCAGGGGGAGGCTGGCAAGCTGCTCCTGTTGGCGACACATGCAGGTCCTCATCCCAGATGTGAGCAGGCTTCCTCAACTCCCAGCCACCTGAACGTGACCTTGGGAGGAAAGGTGTTCATGCAGTGGATATATGCCTGGCCTTTGCTAGCAGTGCCACAGTTCTGCTTGAGTGGGAGGCAGCTGTCAGGGCACAAGGGATAGAAACCAGGAGATGTGAGGGTTGATGTGCTTCTCCAACCTGTAGCTTCACAAGAAGTGGGGCACGGTCCCTGCCATGGCACAGCGGTGTGGTCCTGGCGCTCCCTTCGCTCTCCTGGTCCTCCCTGCTCACCGGGCGGTTTCGGGTTGCTCTTCAGAAGGCAAAGGCATGCATGAATTGGTTGATAGGTAGGA